CCCAGGTTGTCAAATACAGACACGAGTGGTGTTCATTTAGTTGTAATATGCAACTTGACTTCAGTCTGGACCAAAGTGTTGAACCAACAGACTGACGTCATTCCCATCCTAGAACTGCTCAAAACATTGTCATACAAACTTCACTGACCAATCAGCTGTTTCACTGTTTATGTATGACATATTTTACCAAAGTGCTGGAAGCATACATTTAAATAACCACTATATCCAAAGATGTTGAGCAAAATAATCTTGTATTATGGCATTTTGAATTACAGCATTTGCAATAAAACAGCTCTTCATGAATCATCAGATAAGCAATTAAACTCCAAAGGTCAGACAAGATTAAGAATTACTATTTGTCTTTGTACTTGGTATCTTTCTCCTCACTGTTTGGCAAACCTGTCTGCCCAGGAAAGGGGGCAATCTTCAGGAAGAAATAGGGGTTACTTTGAACCCGCAATGCCACCAGGATGGGAGTGGCTGCATAGAGCAAGTTAGCTGTCAGCACACACCAGAAAGCATCATTTGGGATTCGAAATGGAGCTGTGGTGCGAGAGTGGAGGGACCCCCCAATGTGGGCCCACTGGCACTGGAAGGAGACACAGAAAGCAAGACAGGAGTTAGACTGTGTTGTCATTATACAGCATATTGTACCTATAAGCACTAATATTTCCACTATTGGCTATTTTGTTCTATTTTCACACTGGTAGCAGGTCATTTGAATCCTGTTTATTCCCACAAGCCCCCCAAAGGAATAACTTGGAGGAAGTTGTCTTGAGTCTCTGTTCTTCCACAGTCATTAGTCTACTGTTAAAATATAATATCCTAAAAGGGAAGATAAACCACTGCACGGGGGATGCACAGATTTAAGAAGCTGGTTGTTTTAGATAACAGGGAGCAACCTCTTATGAACAGTAAAAGAAAGCTTTAATCAAATGCTTCATCATGGTTCATGGTTCGAATCTTTCTGTCAGATTAGTATGGCGGGGGAGAAAGCACTACCACTTTGTTTATTACAGAAAATATGCTGCAGAAGATAAATGTAGTCCAGGTAATAATTAGCTAGATGAGAGCTCACTACAAGCAGTTTAATTGCAGTGACACGTGGCAGACCTCTTTGTACTGACATAAAACTGCTGATGAAAACTTCAATCGGAGGCAGTAATTATCACAATGACTTAATGCAATACAACACACTGTCAGTGCAACCCCCTTCAGTATGCAACACCTGCATCCCAAACTATGTATTCAGAGGCAGTTTCACTTATTGACTGGTTTGTTTTCGTGGTGTTACCTGGATCACGGCTCCGGCGAAGAACACGGTCCAGTCTGACATCCATGTGCATCCAGGCTTGAGGAGACCATAAACAAATGCACCCAACAGAGGTAGTCCATAGAAGAACAAGTGCAGCATCTATAGAACCAAATGTAAAATATTTTAGTTTATACTGATTAATATTACCTACTTAAGTATCTTATCAGTTGAACATTACCAGTTTTACCTCCACATTTTGAATCTCTTCAATCTGTAACATACATACATTCTGTGGTTCCATGGTTATATACAGTAGGTTATTGGTGGATATTATAGTGTATATACTCCAGTGAATAGAGATTCTGCATCCAGAGCATAGTGCAGAAAGATTTCCCCTCCATCATTGTCAGTCTATGTTGTGGTTGGGTCCCGACCAACACTCCAGCAGACGATTAATACAGTACATCCTCATTCTCGTCTGGCCTACACTGCACTTTACCTACTCACACTGAATACAGAAGAGGGCCGCTTTGAATGTGGAAATACAAACACCCTCAGAATAATTTGCTGCATAAAAGTCACATTAGTACCAGCATGGAAAAATACTTGAAAATTGCAGCAAAATACAAGTAAAAGTCAACTAATTTAGAAGTTAAAAAGAGGTAGGTATCACAAATGAATTTACTCAGTTTTTTCCCATCTAGTGTTAAACTATTAAAGTTGTACCAGTTCTTTTACAGTATTTTAAACCTGTATATGATCCAGGTGTTCCTGGGTAGTGATGGGCATACTGATTCTTTTCACACAATCGGTTCCTTCAAGCTGATACATGTTAATGTATTGAACATTTCAAACCTTTCAAGTTTTGATACTGAAAATATATATCGTCAGTTTCTTCATGACACTCTCATGCCCGTTCATCAGATAGTGCTGCCAGGTACACAAAGTCATCCTGTATATGGTTACATTACTAAAGATAACATATTCATTTTAATGCAGTATAGTTCTCCACCATTTAGAGTTGTGACCCCCCAGAATAATCAGGCTGATGTTTGCGATGTTATTTTATTTTATTTTCCACAACCATTTGGTGACCCATGGAAATGATCTTGTGACCCTTTTGTGTATCCCGTCCCCCAATTGAGAACCAGTGTTATGATATATTGATTCAGCATCCCACTTGTATATAGGTAGGCTATGTAAGGTCATTGTTACATAGCCTAAGTGTGGGTGAGTGAGTGAGTGAGTGAGTGAGAGAGAGTGAGAGAGTAAGTGGATTACTGTTTTGAAGTCTAGTGTTTGGCATTATGTTGTGTTTTTTTGGAGTCCTATCAGACTTTTTTTTGCAGTCCATGGAGTTGCCTCCTGCTGGCCATTAGAGAGAATGCAGGTTTAAGAAGCTCTGTCCACTAATTATATACTGTCAGTGGTAGCTGCCAGGCTCTCTACTGAGTGCTTGAGTGACTGATGTCCTCATTTTAGACAACGATTCATTGGTTGTCCCGCTTTCTATGTTTTGAGGGACTGCACCACCGGAGCAGGCAGCAAGAGCAGGACCCTACGATAACAGCAAGTGGGCTTGGGCAGTATGAGTGGGACAAGTCTGGGATTCATGTCTTTCGTGAGCAGTGAGCACTTATGTTTGATAGGCTGACCGGGTATAATGGACAGACAAAAAAAGATCTAATCTAAAGTTAAATCTAACATTTTATTCTGCAATATGACCTGCAGTCGTAAGATAAACATAGTAACTTAAAAAGTACAATATTGTCCTCTGAAATGTGAAGAAAGTCTAAATGAGCTTTGACAAAATGGCAATTCCCAAATAAAGTCTCTGTATCTCTAATTTGGAGTACTTGGCTCAAATTTGCACCCTCAGCACAAATTATTACTTCCACACAACGGTCTTTACAGAGACCGTCTTGACCTTCAACTTAAAATATTTGGTGCATGAAAGCCAGTTTCCCACTTTATAAAACCCTCAAATTATACTACTGAACAGTTTCTTTTCATTCTCAGTCTGAGGTCTAAAAGAATTCTAATGAGTTCAGTCCAGGGCCGGAAAGCCAATCATAAATGCCCTTCAGTCTTTTGTTGAAATGTCTTCTTAGTGCTGCTACGGTAATCTGTCACATATCGTTCATCATCATCAATGAATAAAGAGGTCAGTCACTACAGAAACAGTGTAACCCTGTACAACAATCCAAACTTCATTTCATTTCCTCACACACACACAAACACAGATTTGCAAAGGCCGCTAACCAAGACATACTTTCACATGCTGCACACACACCCTCCTCCCACCCAGTGAGATGCTGATGGGGGGCTTTGGCGAGGGATTAGTTTATCAAGTTCTCAGCATGCGGTTTGTCTGTCTGATCAATGACTTGCAATTGTGCCTGGACTGCAGCCCCAACAAGGTCTTTGGATAACCTATTGACAAAGCTGTGTATGCTGAACAAAGCACAACAAAATCTACAGCCACACAGGGTCAACCGGAGAAAATAAGGGAGAGCAGACCCCACCGCCAGTCACAGTAATAATCTGTTATCCATCTTACACAAATGAAAGAGAGAGACAAAGATGCGCTGGCCTCTCAACCTTCGCTCATTGTTGCTGTAATGATGAAAAATGGCTCTGTAATCAGCTGCGAGCTAAGAGAGTGGAGGCGATAAGGGCAAGCTTCCAGCACTCTCAGAGTGATATCCATGAAAGCAGAGGTCCATTATGTGGCTGGTTATTTAAAACAGGCTGGAGAGGAGCACTCAGGTGCTGCTGCAGCAGACCCAGAGGCTGAGTGTGGAGGGAGATAGAGAAAAAAAACACTCACCATAACTCTGGGGTAGCCTACAGGATCCTTCAGGTAGGGTTCATAGTGCTTCAGGTAGATGGAACATGCCTCTAGTGGAGAGTCCAGAGCCACCTACAGAGTGTGGACAAAATAACAGCAACGCCTCACAATATAATGCAATTTAATCTGACAACACCACAAACGACAACTGCAAATTATAATAGTTTTTCTCCCTCACACAGTTTAAATTAAAAGTAAATGTCCAAAGCTAACAAAATCCACCCATCACCACCTTGAAAACTCACTAATTAAACTACATTTGAACAGAGTGCTTCTAGCTGTTTCTCTCTGTTTACAGTATTTCTGGAGAGCTAAGCTACCCAGCTGGTGGAGGTACTTCATTTACCATGCATACAGAATAGTAGTATCCAACTCTTGGAAAGGAAGCGAATAAAAGTGTCTCCGAAAATGTCCTAACTATTCCTTTTCATTTAATATTATCCCTTTATTTGCATATAAAATATCTTATATTAAGTATGTTTAAATACACAATTCATATATCATTGCTAGATCCTTTGTAGAGAGTAAACACATAACATTCCCAAGTGGCTCAATTAGTTGAATGCATTGCTTGTTAAAGCAAAATAATAGATACTGTTTAAATCCTGGAAGCTCCCTGGACAAACTACTCTGCAAAAGCAAGATTGGAGGCTATGCCTTTAAAAACTACAATTACAGCCATGCCCTAAACTCTGTCCATAACATATATGTGATGTAGGCTGGACTTACCAAGCCTCTGAGGATGGTGAAGGCCATAGCAGCTAACAGGAGCAGCACCAGGATCATATCCAAGGGACGCCAGATCAGCACCATGCTCTGAGCATGCTGGGCCTGTTGGGAGATGTCAACAAAATGTACAGTATAGGGCTGGTTAGTCAAGGTTGTGGTTTCACTGCAAACTTTCAGTCTGACTTTAATGAGACCCTACAGAGTAGAATTAATGAATGTGTGTATGAGGTTTTCAGTCTTTAAACTTGCATTAAGTGATTAACTTTTTGGCCACTTGGGGGAACCAGATACAATCTGTAAATAACTATATACTGTCACTGGTAAATACAGCATATCACAACACAGTTGATATGGTGGTGCATATTTACATATTCAGCATTTTGTAGCAAAGTTTATGTCAGCCTGCTGAATGTAAGTCCAATATTCTCTCTTCTTTTAGCTTTGCTATGCTCTCCACCATCTCCCCAAAGTAATACTGGTATCTGTCTCTTTAGATGCTCAATGATCCACTATGTTTCTTGCTAGACACTAACTTTGTTTGTTGGCCGTTTGGTGGTGTGTGGGTAGCATACAGTCAAACAGAAAATGACACCATAAGAGTGAGTGATAACAGTAGAGTTACGGGCCAGAAAACTAAAACAAAGAGCTGAAAGACACCAAAAGGCTCTGTAGAGCTGAGGGAACTGCAGACTTGGGTGATAATTCTTTGTGTGTTTATCACCACAAGAACCTCTTTCACATATAAGTCATGTGATTCATTGTTCATATATGAGTACTTATATGTCTAAGACATGTCTAAGACCTAGCTAACTTGAGTTTGAATGAAGACTGCAGTGGTCTAAGGCTAAATTGAGTTGACTCTCGTGCTAGAGCTACTGTATGTTACACTCTTACGATTAACTCAGAACAATTGCTGGATAATGTGATGTGAGGAAAAGGAAGTAGTGAACTTGCCATACTGAAACACTGTAGCTCCACTTGCAAACAAACTGATGATCTTCCAGATTAGGGTGAGTACACCACAATTCCTACTATCACACTGATGACACCACTGGAAACTGTACCAGCTTATAGATATAAATGACTTAATTGGCTGCCCTTTGTCATCTTCATGGTCTGCATCACATTCAACTGGTCTGTGCTTTATTATGCTCTGATTAAATACAATCAGCAAACCCAACTTCTCTAAACCTCTCGAAATTCATATCAAGGTCTAACCATTCACGTGTTATAGGCTTACATTGTATCCACCGATTAGTGGTCTGTCCTTGGGCTTAGTGAACAGTGTGACGGCTCCCCATACAGGCATCAAAAGGAAGAGAAAGTTGAGCCAGAAGGCCGGACGGATCTCTGATCCATATTTACCTACCATAAAGAAAAACAAAGAGACTTTGTACTCACCCATACAAAGGCACACTGTAAATATCTCAATGTAAATTAATAATTAAGCTTCCAAATAAAACCTCCACAGGGCACAGGCAAAGACATACAGTACAGTGTGTCTATGATAACAGAACAGAGCGAACATTGTAGACGAGTTTGATCCTGTGACACTTATGTATGCAGTTTGAAATGCCAACAACAGATGCTTTAAGTCTGTTTTCTGCTTTGTTCTGTGGGTCGTGACGGCAGGCAAGGCATGGGGCTTGTGTCTATTTTGTTGGCAGGCTGAACTGTGACACTGATGGTACACGGCAGTGCAGATGTTCACTTGATTAAAGCTTGTCATCATGGGACTGGTAGAGGGGGAATAGAAGATGAGGCTCACCTGCCACTATCCCGGCAATAAACACGCTCATGTTGGCACACAAAGAGCCAGCCCAGAACAAGCCCAGGGTACGGTAAGCTTTCCTGGGAGAGAAACCAAAAAAACAAGGGTGATTATACTATTGTAGAAATAGCTGGTAAGGATAAACCAAGTGCGGCTGTATAAAAGTATAACTTCTTACACATCTATCATACATGTTTTGTGTAATACAAAGCCCAGCACAGTTTCTCCCAGTGGTAAAAATCTGACATTGTTTAAAAGAGAATTTCATTTCCATGATAGCGCCTGCCCCAAGGCAGCGCTCGCTCTGAACTCTTGAACTCACTGGCTGCACTTTATGACTAACTTAATCTAGATGTTGTCTAAACGTACTATTTTATTCAGGCCACTCTGTGCGTTTTATGTGATAAATTCCCCCCATGAATCTCAGCGGTGAAATGCATGATTTGCATTAAACTGCATTTACTATTTCTTTAAGATATCAAATATATGGAAATAACACGTCTGACACCTATAGTGTGCTGTAGAACATTTTAATCTTAATCTGAAGTGTATTACTGCTACATTCAGCTTCCACAACCTCCTATGTAGTTGTTGTTCAGTTGGATGCCATATATCTCTGTAAAATCATCTGAGGCAGGCATTTTGTGATGGAGAGCATGATAAATGAGCTTGCTGTGACTTGACTTGACCGTCACCCACCTGTCTGTTATCCTGCTGATCATCACCAGGTACATGATAAAGTGTGCAATTCCATCCCAGTAACACATCATGATGGCATAGGCTGTTCCCAGATAGGGCTCTCCCTAAAACACAGACAGCTAATGACAGACAGCTCTCTGTGCTTTGATTGAGTGTTTGTTTAATCGTCTACCACTGTATATTCTCTCAAAAGTCCAGGCACAGATATTGTTGTATTTGTGCACCAGGTATAAATTATTATCATTATTTTAGTTGTAAGAATCTTACCGTCTTTTGGTAGAATTCCATAAAGCCGGAAATAATGCCGTCATACTCCAAGGCACTTATCAGGTCAATCACACAAGTAAAGCAAAATTCAGCAAAAACTGCAACGGCAAGAAACAATACAGGTTATTTTATTTCAGGTGTGTGTACGTAAGGGAAGGTGGGTGTGGGGTAACTGTACAATATCAGACTCAAGGAAAACTTGCAGGACTTAGGAAACATTTAAGCAGCTTTGTCAGCTTTGAAAAACATCATTCACAAGCCCCTGTGATTTTGAAAATTTCTTGAAATTACCCAATCTGCTATGTCTACATACTTATATAGGGGGTTATTGTGGGTGCCAGGATGGGCAGGTTGCAATTTCACTGGTGAACATTAAATGCACCGCAACAATCGTCAAACATTGGCTACAGCATGTTGGAGACTTTCAGCAGATGATCACGGGAGATATCGAGTGGCTCAGACCATAACAAGCCATCAGCAATGTGCAGCAATGCATGGAATTTAACAATATAACTGTGGAATATAACAACCTGCTTGGGCACATACAGGGTATCTCTGCTATCCACGATAAACTGCTGAAGGATCTTATAGAGGATAACATGTCCATTTCACTGTTAAAAAATGTGGCCTGGACTGATTAATCCATGGCAGACTCAGCATGTGCGGTAAACAATATGAGGCAATAGACCTTTTTTCCATGATTAAACTGTGCACAGCAGTTGGGTAGGTATGACTGTTTGGGGACATTCAGCATGCATACACTGACTGCTGATAAGTGTAGATGGGCAGTACATAGTATATATTAGTATTATCTAACACAGTTGTAATGAACAGAAACAGAGCATCCACACAGAGATGTTGGACAAAGCACACGTCTGCATCAGTGATTTACAGTTGGATTCAGTTCATTGGGAACAGCTGTAAAAGCCATTACAATGATTTACTGGCTGGACTTTGCAGAATGTCATTATAAAGTGAATCACTGTGTGTTTTGACATAGGCATCTCTCTGCAGATACCATGGCTTAAAGTTGCTGTATCACATCCTTCCTATCTGTCCTTCACACACTCTTTGAACACAGATGCACATATTACACGCACATGCACACAAACACATTTTGTCTCTCCTGTGCACCAGTGTCTCTATAATCCTCAGGACAACCAGGTTTATCTCTGACATCTAACAGGTGAGATAGCAGGGGGATTATGGCTCTCTATCATTGAGAAGAGCCTGCCACAGCATTGTCCTCATTGTTGTGGTTCTACACAACACTGGTGTGGCCTTGGGCACCGACTACCGATATATCACCTCGTTCATGTCACACTAGCATAGCCCCTGGCATCAGTTGCAGGGGTGTGTTTGTGAGGAAACCCCTGGCTAGAAATGGAGAACGTATTTGAAGATAGCTATATACATAACAATGAATGATATGACATAAATCACTGCTTAAATAAAGGTGCGTGAAAGATCCTACTATCACCTAAAAAAAATACAGATGTCCTTGTGGCATTACGGAGTAATTCAGTAGTGGAATTTGAATGGTATTATACAGGTGCAGTGACTGTGGAGTTATTTTGCTTCAAGGTCAATGGACTCAAGTCTCAAAAGAATAGCTGAAATGTTAAGTGTTGTGAAGGTCCGTCATGCCTCAGAAAAGTCTGGCTAAGCTTTGCTCTGAGCCTGATCAGTCTAAGCAGCTTTCTACGTGTCAGGTGAAATCACTTTTAGCACAATTCATGTTTTCACTCAGACACAGCGTGTAGCAAGTGAAAGTTCTGGAAACCCTTTTGAGAGAGTCGGAATCTGCTCCAGCACAATGCGTAGTAGTGATTAACCTCGGGGTATTTGGAAATGTATTGCAAGTAGGTTGGGAAATGCATATTTGTGTTAATTACCAAAGAATAAAACGTCTTTAGGCGGGTTGCCACGAGTGATGAGGAAGTAAAACAGAAAAACAATCACCAACACAGCAACGCCAATCTCCAAGATCACATAAGGCCTGTGAAAGAAGAGAAATGATTAGTTATCTAATGAAACAACAACACATTGTCCATGTTTTTTTTAACATAATCTCTCTGCTGACACTGCACTTTCAAACATCTCCCTCTGATTTTCTGCTCCATTCTCTTAACTAATTAGTTTCTCCAATGGAAGTTGTGCCAGTCTTTTCCGCAGTACTAAATTAGTAAATGATGATGAATGGGAAGTCAGCGAGAATGATAATCACACACCACAGTTAGCACAGGGGGAAATAATGCAGAAGTGTGAGGGGGAATCTGCGTGATAGAGGCAACACAACCAGAGAGAGCAAATGCACTGCTGGTGTGGTAGTTTGTGTGCATGGAGATTCCTGGTGAGATGGCAGTGTCACATTGAATTTACCTTCCTGATATCCTGCCACCTCAGGTTGCATTAACAAAAAAACAGAGAATAAGCAGTGGCCTCATATTTAAGCTGCAAGATTTAAAAATATATATTGCTGAGTTTAAGGCGTCGCTCGGTCTTGACATTAAAATTCTGATTCAGTAAGGTAGTAGTGAGGTATTGATCTGATAAAACTCCTGCGGTGCAAACCTTTCCTTTCAAAATAAGATTATGCTTTTTTTATATTGTATTTTATACATTGGATGACTTGTTTTGCCACAGACAAAATTTTTATAGCTTTATAATTTTAGCTTGCCAGTCTAACAGAATGATGTATGAAGCCATAATGTAAACTTTTAGTAAACATTAGAGCAACGTTCCCTTGTTAAACTCTAGATATGCAATACGCCACCTCTCATACTGCTGTGGTGGTATGCCTACCAGTGGCTTAAATGCACAGCTTTACAAAGGCATAATCAATCATAAGCAGAGGTGTGGGAAGTAGCAAGCTAAGGCCATGTTAGTTCAGCACTGCCCTCCATGTTTACTGGTCAAAGGTACTGCTGCCTTGCGCTGGAAAAGATTAATGTGCGCAAGGTATCTCCTAGTAAACAACATTACATCCTTGGAAAACTCACAATGTGTGCTCACAGAAGGGAAAACAAATGCTGTGAGAGCAAAGGGAAGCTCCCTTGCTACCTCTCCAATTCAACAGTACAGGAAGATTTATGCACACAATACTGTTTGTTTGCAGAGTGGGAGAGCATGAGGCATATTGTATGTCAAGAGCAATTTATCAAACTCTGTGCAGTCTGTATTGATTGTCAATGTCCACACATTCAAAAAAGAGCCAGCAGAGATATCCACACAGTGGGAGTATAAAAGTCTATGGGAAATGGGAAATACTGTATCTTATGGTGAAATGTATGAGTGAAACATGTATTTTACCACTAGCTCTGATTATTCAGCCTATAGTGTTGCAGTGTGTAATCATCAACTGTAAACAATACTATAAAGATAATATACCAATAAACATGTAAGATTTGAATTAGAAAATGATCCCTTACAGCTTTGAAAAGTAATTATGTCCAGCATCATATCAGATTATCTTCACAAATTCTGCTCACATTGCCTTCTTTTTGCTCCCTGTTCATTCTCTTGCTCCTCAAGGAAATGTCAGGTTTAATAATTTAAAGGGCCTGCACGACTAAAGACACAATTGGCAAATACTCTGAACATCATTAAATTAGCAGTGTTCAACATGGTCAAGGATTTATGAGGCTGTCATAGTCAAATACAGAAATATACCTTATGTTTTAGGCTTACAGTGTGCTCTAGTGGTAGTAAAATATACTGTCTGTGATTCCATGAAACACGAATCAACTGCACTATTCAACATTTATTGTAATTCTATTATAATTATAACAATTTGGATTGTATATTAACAAATATTAGTATAGTTAAAAAACGCACATGTTCTGTTTGTATAATATTGTTGTATAAAAGCTACAATTTTATTGCAATGTTTTACAGCTTTCCATTCAAAACAGAAAAGTGTAGATCTATTCAGTTTTTAGATTGAACTGAGCGATAAGAAATCAGTAAACGTTTAGGGACTTACTCTTGAAACTCAGGAATGGTGTTCATGGCATAAAGAACGCCAAGGGCAGAAAATGAAAATAAAAAGACAAGGGTCTCCATCTCTTCAAAAGCTGTTGAGCCTTCCTCCCTACAGAATCCACAGCACTGCTGAAAATACAATCAGTTTTAAGTCTGCTCCAGCAATAGTAACACTAATATTTGATCACATCATCATTCAAGTTATGTCAAGACATCAATATATTTATGAAAATGTGAACAAATGAAATCTATATTTTAAAAAGTCAAATTAAATTATATGAATGTCATAAAATAAAATCCTGAATGAGAACTGCAGTTTTGAATAGTATGGAACAAGAAACAGAGCAGGCTCTTACCGTCTGGCTACCCTTTAGGTGGATTAATCAAATTACAGCTGGCCTGAGGCACCCATGGCCTTTACTGGGAAAATAATGAAGTGGAGACAAAGGAGCTTTTGGGGGAAAAGTTACACAATTTTGGTTTTTGTCAGAGATTTACATAAGTCGCATTAGAGAAAAGGCCCACATTCCACTTTATAGAGCAACACCCTTTCAAGTTCATTCCTGTTCTACTAAGTACTTAATGCCGGGTTTTATGAAATGTGGGCATTGTGTTCTATAGTAAGAACTGTATGGATGTGACCGTATTCCATTTTCTTTATCACCAAAAGTAATTGGAAAGCAATTGTTTCTGTGGGCTCTTTTATTTCTTTCTCCTTCTAATTATTCCCATTCAAGCAAAAGTTAAGAACACTTCCTGGCCTAGAATATATGAAAATGTCCACGTATCAAAACACATTCCAGTCAGTCCAACAAATGCACATCGGTTAAGTTCCCATAAATCAAGTTATGAAAAACAGAGTTTTGTAACAAACGTGCCTTAAATGATGTCGTCCTAAACCGAGAAGACATGCACTACATACACCATTTATTGTAACTAACTTGCTCAAGAGTCACAGTGAACAACAGCTGAATCTGCAAAAAAAACCAAAAACAACAGCAGTTGTACCATTCCTGCGGACAGACAAAGTTATTGCAGACCAATCTGGCTGTGACATATAATGAACACATTAACAAGAAGTGGGAAATACGTATGCAGTGATTTCTCAATAATGATCAAAATTTCTCAATGGAAGCAAATCCTCATTGTAACGGTTCTGCTTTATTTGTTGAGCCCCTGGGATTACTGCTCGCTACTTAGTATATTCATCCATTACTTTGCTCATACATATATGACACCAAGATCCAGTTTGCTTCAAGTGTTTGCAGTAGGATTCCAGTAGGGTGCGCCAAATTCAAACTAAAAGGGCAGTCTCCTTACCAATTACTTTGGAAATTGAACATCATGCTATAGTTTTTATTTAAAATGTTATCACAATTGTTTCATTGTGTTAGAGATTAGTACATCACAGATATCTGCTGTTATTGTGGTGAACCAATTCAGATATCAAGGGCAATGTTAGTCTGAACTGAAATTGTCCTTAGTGATGAGCTAACATGCATTATAAAGGTGTAACTAAACTGTGTCAGGATGCATTTATACCCTTTTTACATCCTGTATCATAAACCACCACCTTGCTGAGATTAAGACAATACAACAATATCAGAAAGAGAAGACAAAACACGACCCTGCCAGTATCTTTCACGAACAGTACCTCGGATTTGAGCACAAACCCACACACACACCGCCCCTTTGCTTCCCACCACCCTCCTTTGTTGGGAAAAGGGGGGAATGGTATACCAGGAAGGCAGTAGCAGTCTGTGTTTGCTGGAAACAACTGGAGCTCTTCCAGCTTTGTCGTTCAATAACGTGAAATGGACAGATGGATGCCAAAATGAGACAGCGACCTGCAGGAGAAAGATGAACATGTACTCCATTTAACATCTAAAATGAAATATGCTTTTATACAATAACTGTCTGCGGAGAAGTGATTTGAATGAAATACAATGTATGAAACAATAATGAAACAAATTTGGTTTTGGTTGTGCAGAGAATCATGCACCCAAAGCACACAGAAAATACATATATATTAGATTTCTGTTTTATTGTGCATTTGTATTGCATATACTATTTTATGCAGACGTGAAATGTTGAAATGCAGTTGTTCCTCTTCTCAGAAATCTCTGTTTTTACCCAGTGCAAACGTCTAGTGCACTTAACTACATTATTTAGTCACTACCTTTGACGATGGTTACCAGTAGGAATGGTAGTAATAGTTATAGCATCAGCAATGGTACTTATCGTGGGCTAAATTTAGGCCCATGGCCTCGTAAAGTGTGAGAGAGAAATCAGCTGCAAAATCTTGCAAATCCAAATATGCTCAATCAAATATGAGAATATGTGAAAGAAATGATATACTGATTCATTCATGAAAATTAAGGTTTTCATTTGTTGTTGGTTTTTACAGAAGGAATCTGAGGAAAAGCTGCCTGTGAGTATTTTTTGAAAATGTTATAAAATTATAATTACCACATCTTCAGCATCAACATTTAGCCTTAAAGTCGATTAAAAAAAACAGACAAATATAAATGGACTTTCAACTTAAATAGTCAATTTTATTTGTGTGTTGCAGCCTTAGGTACAATAATATTAATATTAGTTAATGTCTCATGGAGGAACACTTATTTATAGACCTCTTTCCTAGAACAATTTGTATGAAAAGTCCTGACTCAATTTTCAGATATGATAGAGTTGAATGGTTAAATTAACTTCAAAAGCCTTGTTCATTGTTACTAACCAACCTAGATTCAGTTTGCACACAGACAGTTTACAAAATGTCGGTTAATAAATACATAGCATCAAGTCGTAGATTTATATTTTGCAAGAAATTATGAACATTAGGCTACTAATCAAGCTTTTCTGAGCTTATTGTTATTATTAGGTTATTATTGTTTAATACGATGACATTAAAGCCAATAACTGAGCTCTAGGTGGCTATTGTATTGTCTCATCTGCCGTCATTGCGATGTATTTATTCTAACCTGAAGCATTGGTTCAAGTGTCAGCACTATGATCAACTCTTTAAGGCCTGGCTGTTTGCTGCTCGCGATCGTCAAGCGGCATTACGCGTGACGACAGCGGCGGAAATATTTTTTCGCTATTCAAAATGGCACCGTCTCAATCAGGAAGTGGAGAAAACAACTAAGAAGAATAAGTTGGATAAAATTCCTTATTTCTATTACTTTGACGCGAGTCTTCGTTCAAAAGTCGCCCGTTTGCCCGGGGCTTGGATTGAGAACAAGTAACACGTTAACGGTGAGTGTAACTGGAGGATTTAGAGCAAAGTCAAGCGACACATCGGCAGTTGCTTTAGAACGAGATGCGTTCTAGAAAGCCTCTCCTAGGCGCGCACGTTTTTAACGACGGGCTACGCCGGTTCTTAAGCAGCTGCATTGAGTTTAACGTTATCACAGGAGACGTTATCGGTAAAGTTGGACCAGACCGGAGGAAGTTAGGCTGGCCGTGGAAAATTAAAGAGACGTATTGCCATTGATATCTCGGCATCACTTCGCCGCCGTCAAGAAAGGCCAGCAGCTAACAAAGCTAGCCTGCTAGTACTTAGAGATAAGCTATTGCTTTGAACGGAGCTAACCAGCGAGTAATGTCTCTCAAATAAACCCAAGCTACACGGCACTTTTAAAAGAGGAACATCCACCTTCGTGTGCTCGCTACTAACTAAAATGTCCGTCATGGGGACAGAACACAATCCAAGATTTTATTCAGCAAAGCAGATGGCTTCGGTAGCCCATTAACATACGCAGGCAATGTACAAAACGAACATACCCAAAGTGAGAAAAACGACTGTGAGCTATGCTAACCCAGCTAGCACAATTAGCTATCCGAAGTATGTCTTGTTTTAGCGATCTAGTGTGGGATCTTGCTTTATTTTGCCCCCCGTTATTGTAGTTCGAGAAAGTGAAGTGGGCAAATCAGAAATACGTTGTAGCAAACGTTTGCTTCCTCGCCAGCGCTTGTTAAATGTATCGTGTGTCGTTCGTTAGGCTAACATTAGTGGCAGTAACACTAACGTAGAGTTAGCCCTCCTTTGTGCTCTGAGACCTGTGAGCCTCTCTCCAAACGAAGACACATTTCGGCTTACTATTGTGGTGATTGTACGAAAACGTTACACCAAAGTCCCTGCGATTAACGCTTTATGCACACACGGAGAAATATCAGCTAACGAGGAAAGCGAATGCACCGTTTTAGTATAATCTTATTTGGTATAAGTTGGTAATTAACGTAGTTTTCACAAAGCTGTCGGAGATACAGCCCCGTATGTGTGTCACTGTATTCATAAATGAAACACGACAACAACAAAAAAAAACCCCCCAGAGATTTTAACTTTTCCTTTTAAACGAGACAGGAAAAGTTAAAATCAGCATCGTAGTTGCAGGCATTCATAGCAATAATAAACTTTGGTCGGCTACGCAGTCAGTGGTGTAATGGTAGCTGTGCGTAATATGTGTTTTCCCAAATATTCATTCAAGTACAAGATGTTGGAGTTGTGTATCAGTTTAATAATTAAATGCTTCTCGAGAAAGAAGTGGCTACTGTGTGTAATAACGCTATATCCCAGTTTAAAGTGGCGATTACACAATAAGAGCTAAAACTGGTCACTCGTGTTTTCTTGAATTTCATAGTTTTTGTGTTATAAGATCATAATAAAAAAAGGATATGATCTAAAAAAAAAGAATACTGGCTTGAATGTGTGACAGAAACCAGACATACTGGGAAATACTGGGGGTGACTCAGAAAACCAGGAGTTACCAGGAGGAAATGAAAATAGCTCTCACAAAGCTGTCCCCTCTAGTTCTTTTTCTTTCCTGCAATTTTCACCCTTTAGTTTCCAGTGTGTATAATGCCTGCAGCCAAGGCTGGTCGGGCCGCACGCAAGCCTTGACATACTATGTTGCTATGGTGGCAGGCAATTTTTCTAATTATGTCATTCCCCCTTTGTAGAGGGATACTATTCGGTAACTGTGAAGTGAATGACGTGCTCGGTTCCTGTCTTTCACTCGAGGGTCCTTAACCCCCCCAGTGGTCAATGGCCTTGGTGTCATATCCCTCTCACAGTTACGTCTGTTTCTCCCTCCCAATACGGGGCTTAATAGCAATTTTGGATGCTAATTTGGATTGTCAATCCGAAATACAGGCTAAAGCCACAACTCAATGCTCCTTTTGTTGTTTCACCTGTCCACAGCCTAGAGTACTAAAACGGCATGGTTATTAGATGCCTGTTCTCAGAGAAAACCCTACAGGCATGGCTTGGTCGGATAGTACTCTCTTTGTGTTCTTATTTCTTTTGGCGTAACCAAAATAATGGCAATTCACAGAAAACATATTACACGCATATATTTTGTCAGGACAAACAAGCATGCCATGTAATATTTTAGGTATATGTGTAAAAGTGATTTCTGAACAGTGCTAGTCTGTGGTCATGCATGTGTGTGAGAGTTAAGTGTGCATGCTTCTGCCACACAGCTCCCTTTTATAATTTCCCACTGTGTCAGACAATTGATGGCTGTCTGCCCTGCAGGGACTCGGAGGGTCACAACACACCAGATCTGTTGATACAGTGTAGAGCCTACAGGGACTGTAAGGATGATACACAGAGAACATGGGGGTGTTTCTTAAAGCAGGATTAGCAAGTTTGTCTGGTAACTTTGAAAAGTGCAAAGACAAATGTTCATTTTCATAACTGTATCATCCAGGTTCCTTTTTAATGCATTCAGATAATTATCGCCAGGAAATGGCATGCTCTTTTTTTTTGTTAGGGATATATGACTAGAGTGAGCTCAAACAGCTGTGATCCATGGCTCAACTGTGGCTCATGCCCTCTGCTCTCTGTGACTTGGCCTCCGTTCTCCATCTCTGTTCATCTTTGCTTGCCCGTTTTTTCTCCCCTCCCCAATTGGTGCCAGTGATAAATCTCATTTATGGACCATGGGCTGATTAGAGTGAGAGTGAAAAATGTGGAGTGGAGGAGGGGAATCGGGGCTAGGTAATACGTTAGATTCAGTTCCTGCTTTCCCGGAATCTGGCCTTCATTAGATAATAGTTCATGCGTTAAACATAACAGGGATATTTGGTAAGTGACAGTTGTGGGGAACATATGGCCATTGTGTTCACCTCTACACGGTGACAAACAAACAGGTCCTTTACAATGGGCTGTTTGAGTAGCCCATATCTCAACTAGTATCCAGACCTGGAGGCTATGTGGATCTTTCCCAAGCCACATAGAGAGGACTGAAATGCAGGAGAGTATGCCACACTGTGGGATTCCTCGCCGCTTTTTCCTTATGGCGTTCTCTGGAAAAAGTGTGTCAACATTGTTAGAAAAGCAAACAGTGATTTCGAAATTGGACCCATCCAGGAAGGAAAAATGAGAGAAATGGTCCACATGTTTGAGTTATCAGATTTATAACCTGCCCCATAAACAGGGAAGGAAAAACTGTCGTTTGAAGGCTGACACATGACCTGGACTGCAAATATGTTTGGAGTAACGTATGTGTAGTACAGTGGTCTCATATACCACATTTTACACGCCAAGACTCGTGATCAACATGTTTCCCAAGGCTGTCCTGCCTGCACGGGACACTTGATGACCTAAGATAGTCTTGTGTTAGGCCATTTACACAAGATAAGAACATCTAATGTGTTGTCCCATGTTGACCCTGTTTAACTGGCCAATCTGTTACACACGCTGGGTCGACCCTGATCTCAGCGTGGGTTATTGATATAGATGTCAATGAACATGTGACCTGTTCCCCCTGATGATTGTTCTGTGTTGAACGCATCAGTGGTAGTTATGTAATAGAGGATACATTTTTATGTAGATATTTGCAAATTAGCAAGCTTCCATCTTTTCAGAATGATCAAAAAAGCTTTTATGCACATAACCTTTAGATCATTATTGTTGGAAATACAGTAGGTTCAATTGTTTACATTTCCACTCCAGGTATTAAAGTATGTAAAAAATAATATGATTAATATTTTGTTAAATACAAACATACAATTTCTTATAAAAGCTCTGAAAAGGGACTTGAAGCACATCTTCTATTTCTCCCTCATTAAGAAATTCTAGATCTATGAATTCCCCACCCACCACAGCTGCTTGTGTTAAATTGACTAGTGAAAGAGCAGTATGAATGAAGATGGCTAATGTTCGTAAACACTGGAGAGATTCAGCCATAGCCTACATGTTTAAGTCTCAGTCAGGCCCAGAATCAAACGAGGAGTCTATTGTGCACCACAGTCGGCATCATAATGTATCATAACGGTCAGTGCAGTTAGTATCTTTTATTTGTTTATGTTGGTTGTTAGTTTGTAGCTGACAGTGGCTGACAGAGTTAGTGAAGTATACAATAATATATAAAATGTCACAGTGTGTTCATATTGTCCCATTGTTATTACATTGTAGAAGGTGGAAGGAAGCGCCAGGGTCTGGTTTATCTCCAAAAACGGCACCACCATGTTTGCTGTCAAAACTTTCACCACGCTAATTTCACAAACTTTGTAGTGACAAATCCGCTCTGTGCTTAAGGTTTCAGGTTTCTTTGCAGATGGCATTTCTTAGACAGCGACTGGCGTTCAAATTTGTTACGTACATAAATCTTGCATGCCCGGCATACGTTTGAATCTGAGATTTTAGGGAAGTGTACAGACATCTCCCCATTCAGTAGAGGAATGTGACAACACCTATCTAGTGACAAACTTTGCACAGACACAAGATACATTTTTGAGTGGAGGGGATCTGTAAGAAAAAATCAATGAACTGCAGAACTTCGTGCGAAATGATGAGAGATACGTGCTCTTCTCTCTGCTTTGTACAGTCATGATCAGAGTGGGGGGGGAAAACATATAACCAAAGCAAGTGCTTTGTTATGTGGGTGCTTCAAAACAAGTCTGTAGCCCACAGCTAAATGTTGAGGAAATCAGTTTACTTTAACAGCAGTTAAGCAGAGGGGTGGAAGTGCAACACACAGACCACAGCCATATTATCCCTGGCTACCAGGGTCTCTGCCTGGTGTGAGGGCACAGTGTCAGCAGATATGATCACCACACCATGCACAAAGCATGCTCTAATTGAGGAAAATGCATTTGCCAGTTAATTTTCATAACGTTAACTTTCAAGTATTTTGATTTGCTTCTTTAAAATGCAGTTATATTTTTGTAGCCTGTGTGTCTAAATTGTTCTTTTACAGACATATCACAGGATACCCTAAGGCCCATGGTTTGGTGAATTATAGTCAGTT